ATTTCCCCCTAAATACAGCTTTAGGTGCATCCCACACATTTTGATATGCTATGTTTTAATCTTTTCCATTTCAAAATGCTGTATAATTTTCTTTGACAAATGAATATGTTAGAAATGCTAATTTTAATTTCTAATTATTTGGAGGATTTTCAAGAGATATTCTTTATTGATTTCTAATTCCATCACATTGTGGAATTAAATTAACATGGTTTATATTAATTTAATTGTTTTAAATTTATTAAGACACAATTTATGGTCCTCCCAGCATATGAAGAATTCCAAAAGGCACATGGATGGAGCTGTTTATTTCTATTCTCTTATGTGCTGATACTAGTTGTAGCAATTCTATGCAAAAAAAAAAGTCAGAAAAACTAAATATTAATTGAGAAAATGCATAAATGATAATCATAATAAAATAAAATTTGGTCTCATTGCCATTATGTAATATCTAAATGTTCTATATTCCCTTATAATTTCCCAATATTACTGATAACACTCATAATCTATAGTCACGACCACTTTTTAAGTTATTTATATGTTTCTATATTTAAACTTTTATTTCAATATTTGTTCACAGTTAACAACAAATAGTTTAAAATATATGAAACACCAGACCTCTGTTTAATGTGAAGCTCTAAGCATGAAGTCTGCCTAATGAAGGTATTATGACAGTGCAATTTGATAAGAGAATGGAAAAGCACGTGCATAGAGGCATCGTAAAATTACTGAGGAGGTCACCATATTGGTCCAATTTTTAAAGTGTTCTCTTCCTATGAATAGACATCCAGCTGGAACCTCTGATTAATGTCTGGAAATAATCTAGAATCCCCAGACAAGTGTGCTTACCATTGATCTTGGTAAGGTAGCTCTTGACAAATTAGCATTTCTATAACTGGGTTACATTCCTACAGAGTTATTATTTGTATTAACAAGACAGTAAATGCTTCAGCTTTAGTAAATGTTTCAGCTTTAGTTTATTGAAGCTAGCAATTTGGAAACTGCATAAACCTCTGCAGAACCACTTCTCTCTATGGGGATGGCACAGTTTGGAATACGGTAATGTTGACACATGCAAAAATTAGAACAGAATAAATAATGTGGCAGAAATCAATTTTAAATATTTATCACTTAGATTATTGGAGCAAAAGGCAATCAACACCACAACAACATCCCATATAAGCTTGCTGTTAGCAACTTTATCTTTTCTCACTCTCCTAAGCAATATTTGTTCACATTGGAACAATACTGTTATTGCCAAGTGCTGATCTACTGATTGTATCACTCGATTTAACTATATTTTTACTTGATCTGCACTTACAATTTTTTCATTAATTTTCTCTCTCCAGTAATATTTTTTTTAAAACTTTTACTTTTTCTATTTAGGGACAACACCCATATTTCTAATCTGCAAAAATTTAGCCAAACTCTCTAGATGGAATCATATTAATGCTTTCCTGCCATATGTGCTTTTCCATTTATCTTAGACCTGCTTAGCCAAACCAAGAGCATCACTAACTTACACTCCAATCTCTATTCAATCATGCCCACTTTGCCACAGTCTCTCAATCTAATTAGCATTTTTTGTAAGTAAATAATAAGTTTAACACATAACTAAAGCTGGCCTGGAGAAATGACCTTGGATTTATCTTCACACAAATAGTATACTTAGAAAATACTGACAAGATAACCTGTGAATATTGAGGGCAAGGAGACTTTAACCTATGTTTATTGGAAATTCTTGATTTGTGGGCACACCCCAGAGTTAGGTAAGCCATGTTTGATATGTAAGTTTGAGTTGACATGACCCTAACCTTATATATACAAAGCACACTGGCAACCATATGTTCTTGTTTCTCTGTGTCAAGTTCACAAACACACTCATACATACATAAACATACATCTAGGCTCTCATCTGAATAACCACACAATGTTTATAGGGTGGTTGGTGCAAAATAAGTGTTTCAGTAGCTATTAGACTTTCAATGAAATGATAATAATTTTCAAGATTTACCACTAGATTAAAATTCTTTGTATTCTGTGTCATTAATCTACTACTTTAACATGACACCATAACTTATAGCTTTATATTTATTTTCTTATTTTTTCATTCTCAAGCATGAATTGCCAGCACAAAGGACAAAGAAATGAAAAGAAAAATCCATATGCCAAATATAAATCTTCTCAAGTTATCTGGAAAGAAACACATGTAGTACCAGAATCTTAAAAATTCCTACTAGGAAGCTATCCTGAGTAATTTCTTCATGTTAACACTCTTTTAAATACAGTGTAATCAATTTTGCCCTCTCATTGTCATCTTAAATTAATTATCAGAATTTATTATTATAAATAAAATCTTGTATGATTTATCTAAACAATAGCTTTTTCAGAACATCTGAACCTTAGTATACAAATTTTGTTTTGAAATTAATAATAGTATTCAAGTGATTGGAATTGAAAGGCTGTCATGGCATGGCTGTGAGTATTTAACATTACTGCAATGTTTGATTTACTGAAATATCTGTGTTTAAAAGAGAACTTCTTGACTTATCCTAAAGACATCAATTGTTAGTCCCCAAATAACACATTATTTGGTAGACAATATTCCTAGGAAATTTATTAGCTAAGATTTGGTCTATTTTGATGGGATATTTTAAACTTTCTACTAAAATATATGTGTAGAAAAGAGCATGCAGTATAATTGTACAGCTTAATTAATTTGCCATCCAAACAACACAGCAACTAATCAACACATACACAGGTTGTAATACAAATATTACAAGCATTCCAAAAACAACCCAGGTGCCTTATTTCCATGACAATCTCCTACATGAGTTTCAATGACTAACTCATTTTCAGATCATAGGTTAGTAAATACACATCAGATATGGATGTGGCAATTTCAAAATGGAAATAACTGGCAAGATAGAATACTGCATCCACAATGATATAATTACATGCTAATGTAATAATCAGTGAAAATGGAATATTCACTAAATTCTGCCACCCTCTGGGCCATTACAGAGATACAAAATTATTCCAAAGTAATAAAATATATTCAAAGTATTTTTTATCATATGGAATCAAGTTAGAAATCAGTAATAAAAATCGATAGAAAAAGTCCAGCTGTTTGGAAATTAAGCAATGTCCTTCTAAATAATCCATAATTCAAAAATAAATCAATATGAAATTAGAAAATGCATTTATGTGAGTAATAAGAAGGATGAAGAATGCCAAACTTGTGCTCTTGTGACTTATAAGGAAGTTTAGAGTAAAAAGCAATATATGAGAATTGAAGAAGGCTGAAAATCAATAGATTATATATCACAAGAGCTAGATCAAGGAGATGAATCAAGCTCCAGAAGAGTAAAGAAAAATTAATGAGATTAAGGGCAGAAAAACACCAAAATAGAAAGCAGACAGGCAATAGGAAATATTAACAAATATTAGTAATTTGAAATAGTTAGTATGATTGAAACCCTCCTGGCAAGATTAATCAAGAATTAGAGATAACACAAAATGCTAAATCTAAAAGACACACTGCTATTTTAAAAATAAAATACCTAAAAAATAAAGACTTGCAAAATAAGAAGAACATATTACTAACACACAACAATGAATTTGATGTTTCAAATAAAATGTTCATCTGATTAGTAAGAATCTTGTGCAAATATGTAGTCACAAAGAGAAAAAAATTATACAGTTCATTTTTATAAACTTAAAAAAAAACATAAAAATAAAGTACATTTTTCAGAAGGAGCAGCATTTGGGGAGAAGAGGTTGGAGGTGGTCATAAGGAAGGGTTCTATTATGCCAGTCCTATTCTGCTTCTGTGTCTGAATCCTGTACTATTGTAGAGTAATAATATGGGCAATTTACTGAATATATATTATGCATCAATATAGTGTTATACTCTTTGGATTGAGACAGTATCCCTGAGTTCATGGTTCTGTGAATCTACTAATAGTAACAAATATGCAAATAAGGGTTTGCGAGAAGACATTTTTAAAAGTAAAAACATGTCCCATTTTTCCTGCTATTCATATGCTTGCTCAAAAGTTTGTTAATGATCGAGGTTCTAGAGTTCATTTCAATATCTGGCTAAACCAATTTCCTTTTTTGATCTATGACTATTTTTTTTAGTTATTATCAACTCTTTAGAATTATCTTCTATGGTTCTATAGAATAAATATAAATAAATAATACATAATAAATATAAACATAAGTACTTCTTGATAGAATCTGTGACAGAACTTTGTCAAGAAAAATGTTTACCTGTCCTTAGGGCATTAATCTCAAAGTACCAGGTAACACAAAATCTTCAACATAGCTTGCCAGGAAATATATAGACCACTCTTTTTAGTGATGCATATTTCAACTTTCAGAAATAATGATGCCATATATGATATTTCATATTTCTCCATTTGATATCTCTAACATAATACCTTTTCTTTTTAGCCCAACACAGTATTGAAAACTGAACTATTTTGGGTTTCAAAAGAATATGGCAACGTTTATTGTATAAGAACTTCATGGTCTTAAAGAGATCTAACAAAATTTCACATACAACTTTCCATGTTGCAAAAATGAGAAACAACTAATTTATGCCAATCCACAAAGATTAAAGTAGAAACAAAAATGTAGTGCAGTGTGACCACAAATGCCTATGAATAATTGAGTCTGTGTCCTGAAATCCCAACAATAAAACGATGAGGAAAATCTAATAATATTTTGGAAGATTCTGATTTTACTACAATAATTTTTTGATCCACTATGAAATTACCAAAAATTCTCTAAAATTCTACATTTTTCCATCAAAGCAGAAAAGAGTTAAAATGAAAGAAGAAATTATAAAGATTCAATAATGTAAGTGACTTTAGTGAGGGTCTCAAAGAGAAAAAGCACACATCATCAAAATATTCTCAAGCCTCTAAAAAGATAAACAGAGAGACCTCAGGACCTGGCACAGAGCATATGAAATATGAAGTTCAAATAGCTACTCACCCCTGTCCTCTGAATTGGAAGACCTGATTCCAGTCCTTCTATTTCAGCAAAACATAACAAAAAGAAAAGCAGAGTCTTAGAAAATATTCAGTAGTAAAAATAACAAAGAACTAAAATTTGGTACCATTACCATTATTTACTGTACACATGCAGTGTTCCCTTCTTTTAGTTCAACATTACTGAGACGTTCAGTACCCATCACAGTTGCTTGTCCCCTTCTTAATTCAATCCTTTTCATTTTCTAATTCATTACACAAGAACATATTTCCCATATACATGTATATATAGTCATATTTATGACTCTGTTCAAAGTGACCAAAATAAAGCAAAATGGATCACTGATCATAAAGGTACATACTGCCATATAAGATAGGACACTAATGCCCTTTTCTGTGAAAAAGAAAAAAGCATGCTAACAGTGGCATTATGATGTTACGCAGGGGTCACCAAATAGAGCCAGGCTCTGAGAGTCTTATTTGTCTTATTAGAGGGGCATTCATATGGACCTCAGATTGACATCTGGAATGAGTCCTTCAGCATCCTCAGACAGTTGTGCTCATCATTGATCCAGACAAGCACCCTCCCAACAAATAAGAATTTCCACAGCCAGGCTTATTTCCTTCAGGCTTATCTACTGCACTATGAATAAAGAACAGTACATGGTAGAGTAGACATTCTATTTAGTACCTGAATAATGGAATTCTTATATATATAACTGGAAAAAAGTGACCTTGGATTGTTCTAATAAAATTAGATAAAATCTATTGGGAAAACACAGAAAAAACTTAATCAACTAAAAATTTGAAGAGTAATTAGTGTAGCAAAATTATATGTAGTATAATTACAGTACAAATATAAGTAGAAGCATCTATGTTCTGAATGTTCCAGATATAGATTAAAAATATCAATGTTTAGCACACTTGTATTTAACTACAAGATTATTGTCATTCAATACAAAATAGTGAAAAAAGGAATTACAGCAATGACTCTCCAAAATTATTCAGGTTACTTTTAAAAAACGTTTTAAAAAGGGAAGAAACAATAATGAATTCCTTGAACCATGTAGAGACATTCACAAGAAAAACTATATCTATCATAAAAATATTCTTCCTTGAGTCTCTGAACGATCTCACATTGACTACTGACATCACTAGTCATAAAACACATAAGAATTTCAAATGTACCAGAGTAGCTGCTCACTTTTCTTCCCTGAAAATAACTTGTTCACTTGAAAGAACAGTAACTTGTTCTAGTTTTTGACCTGCAGCAAAAAATCACAAAGAAAATAGATCAGATCATACAATGAATTAAATTAATTAAAAATAAAGCATAACATTGGTTCCATTTTAATTAATCATATAGGCTTTCCTTGCCACAAACATCACAGTTGCTTCATCCATTGTCACCCTTGCCATTTCATTTATCCACTTGTTTCCTCTCTGAGTTTTTTACTTTTTGCAAATTGCCTATAATCCTCTGTACTGAACTATGCAAATAAGTGACACAGCAGTTATCTCACATGGAAAGTTCTAAAGTTGTATTCCATCCAATAAAGACTTTATAAATATCTTATGATGTAAAAGTACCTCTGATTTAAAAATGCAAGACACATGGTAAGAGTACTGTGCGATTATTGAGGAGGTTAAAAATTAAGCCAGTTCTGAGAGTTTTGTCTTATTAGAAGGCCATTCAGCAGGATCTCAGTAACCTTGATACTTATGCTCATCCTTGATCCAGACAGGACAACTACCAACAAATAAGCGTTCCTTACACACACTAATGCTCTTGACAATTTACCACTTTCATCCAACTTATAGTGGAAAATGGCACAGGTAGACATTTGACTTGATTTTAGTAACACTGGTTATAATGGCAACTCGGGAAGCTTCCCAGTATTCTTCTGTCTAGAATGATACATGAAGTGATATTGCACTGGGGCAATTTTCAATGCTGATATATTTATCCAGTATGATAGAAACAAAGAAACAGTAGTTAAATGTGAACTTGGGTAATATCACTTAAAAGATTATTAAAGTATGCAAAGTATAAAATGTGATACTCCTTTTATCCAATAGATCTGTACTCCCTAGCCACAGAATATATGTGTTCATATAGAAACCATAGGATAAAAAAAAACCCACAAAACAACCAGGAAACAATTAACAAAGTGGCAATAAGTACATAACTATCAATAATTACTTTAATTGTAATAGACTGAATGTTCCACTCAAAAGACATAGAATGGCACTGAATAGATACAAAAAAAGACCCATATATATGCTGCCTACAAGAGACTCATTTCACATCTAAAGATACATACAGACTGAAAATGAGGAATGAAAAAATGTATTCAATGCAAATGGAAACAAAAGAAATCTGGAGTAGCAATACTTGTATCAGACAAAATAGACAATAAAACAAAGACTGTAACAAGAAACAAAGAAGGACATTATATAATGATTAAGTGATCAACCTAGTAATAAGATATAACAATTGAAAATATCTATGCAAACGACATAGGACCATCTAAATACATAAAGCATATATTAACGAACATAAAGAAAGAAACTGAGAGTAACATAATAATAGTACAGGGCTTTAACATCACACTTACCTCAATGGACAGATTAACCATACAGAAAATCAATAAGGAAACACTAAGCTTAAATGAAACATTAGATCAGGTGGCCTTAATAGATATATGTAGAACATTCCATAAAAAAGCAACAGAATAAACATTATTTTCAAATGCACATGGAACATTCTGCAGGATAGATCACATGCTAGGCCACAAAACAAGTCTCAATAAATTTAATAAAATTGAAATCAGATCAAGCATTTTTTGCAACCACAGTGATATGACACTAGAAATAAATTACAAGAAAAAAATAGCAAAAAATGCAAAAACATGGAGTCTAAACAATATGCTACTAAATAGCCAAAGAGGTACTAAAAATATACCTGGAGACAAATGAAAACATAAACACAATTTTCCAAAATCTTTGCAGCAAAAGCAGTTCTAAGAAGGAAGTTTATAGTAGGCTATACAAACTTACTTTAGAAAACCAACAAAGAAATCTCAAAGAGTATAACCTTACACCTAAAGGAACTAGAAAAAGAGCAAACAAACCCAAAAGTTATTAAAAGAAATAATAACATAAGAGCAGAAATTAAAAAACATAGAGACTAAGAAACAATAGAAAATTCAATGAGACCAAGAACCATCAAGAAAGAAAGAGAGCAGACCAAATAAATAAAATCAGTAATAAAAATGAAAAGTTACAATCAGCACCACAGAAATACAAAAGGTCATAGAGATTACTGTGAACAACTATACACCAATAAAATGGAAAACCTAGAAGAAATGAATAAATTCCTAAAAACATACAATCTGTCAAGATTGAATCAGGAAAAAATAGAAAGTATAAACACCCAATTACCAGTAATAAAATTGAATCATTAATGTTAAAACTCCTAACAAACAAAAGTCAAGGACTAGATGGCTTCACAGGTGAATTCTACTAAACATTTAAAGAAAAGTTAATGCTCATCCTTCTCAAACTATTTCAAAAAATTGAAGAGGAAAGTACGTTTTCAAACCCATTCTACAAGGCCAACATCACCTTGATACCAAAATCAGACAAAGACAATATAAAAAAAGGAAAATTACAGGTCAATATAACTGATGAACATAGATGTAAAAATTCCCAAAAATATATTAGCAAACTGATTTCAACAATACACCAAAAGGATCACACTTGACCATAATCAAGTGGGATTTATCCCAGGGATGCAAGGATGGTTCAATATTAACAAATCAATCAATGTGATACTCCTCATTATCAAATTGAGGAATAAAAATCATATCACCTTCTCAATAGATACAGAGAAAGCTTTTGACAAAATTCAACATCTATTTAATATAAAATACCAACAAATTAGGTATAGAGGGAATGTAACATAATAAAGGCCATTTATGACAAACCCACAGCCAACATCTTATTCAATGGTGAAAAACTAAAATCATCATCTCTAAGATAAGGAGCAAGGCAGGGATGCCCATTCTTACCACTTTTATTTAGCATTGTATTGGAATATCTAGCCACAGCAATCAGACAAAAAAAAAGGAAATTAAATTGGAAAGAAGTAAATCTGTCACTGTTTGTAGATGACAGGATACTATATATAAAAAATCCTAGGGGGCTTCCCTGGTGGTGCAGTTGTTGGGAGTCCACCTGCCGATGCAGGGGATGCGGGTTCGTGACCCGGTCCGGCAAGATCCCACATGCCGCGGAGCGACTGGGCCCGTGAGCCATGGCCTCTGAGCCTGCACGTCCAGAGCCTGTGCTCTGCAATGGGAGAGACCACAACAGTGAGAGGCCCGCATACAGAAAAAAAAAGTCCTAAAGATTCCACCAAACAACTACTAGAACTCTTCTATGACTTCAATAAAGTTGAAGGATACAAAATTCACACACACAAATCTGTTGTATTTATATACACTGATAACAAACTATCAGAAAGAGAAATTATGAAAACAGTCATTTACAATTGCATCAAAAAAATAACATACCCAGGCATAAATCTAACCATGGAAGTAAAAGATTTGTACTAAAAATTCTATAAGACATCAATGAAAAAAGTTAAAGATGACATAAATAAATGGAAATATACTCCATGCTTATAGATTGGAAGAATTAATATTTTTAAAATGATCATAGTACCCAAGCCAAACTTAGATTCAATTCAATCCCTATCAAAATACCAATGGCATTTTTTACAGAACAAGAAGAAATAATTCTAAAATTTTATTTAAAACTTAAAAAAAAGCCAAAACAATCTTTAGAAAAAGAACAAAGCTAGAAGTATCATGGTACCTAATTTCAAACTATAATACAAAGCTACAGTAATCAAAACAGTATGGTACTGGCACAAAAACAGACACAGAGGTCAACTGAACAAAATACAGAGCCCAGAAATAAGCCCATGCTTATATGATCAATTAATCTACAACAAAGGACGAAAGAATATACAGTGGAGGAAAAGACAGCCTCTTCAATAAATGTTTTTTGGAAAACCAGACAGCTACATGCAAAAGAATAAAAATGAACCACTTCCTCACATCATATACAAAAATTAAAAAATTAATTAAAGACTTAAATGTAAAAGCACAAACCATAAAACTCCTAGAAGAAAACCTAGACAGTACATTCTTTGACATCATTCTTAACAATGTTTATTTGGATTTGTCTCAGGCAAGGTATAAAAAGCAAAAAAAAAAAAAAAAAAAGGGTGGGTGGGACTACATCAAACTAAAAGCTATTGCATAGTGAAGAAAACTATCAACACAATGAAAAGGCAGCCTAATAAATGGTAGAAGATATTTTCAAATGATATATCTGATAAGAAGTTAATATCAAAAGTATGTAACAAACTCATACAACTGAACATCAAAAAAACCAAACCACCCAATTAAAAAACGAGCAGAGGACCTGAACAGCCATTTTTCCAAAGAAGATATACAGATGGACAACAGATACATAAAAAGATACTCAACATTACTAAACATCAGGGAAATGCAATTTAAAAACATGAGATACCACCTCACACCTATCAGAATGACATTAAATAATCAAAACAACAACAAATAAGCGTTGGTGAGTATGTGGTGAAAAGTGAACTCTTGGGACTTCCCTGGTGGCATAGTGGTTAAGAATCTGCCTGCCAATACAGGCGACATGGGTTTGAGACCTGGTCTGGGAAGATCCTACATGCAGTGGAGCAGCTAAGTCCGTGCACCACAACTACTGATCCTGTGCTCTAGAGCCCATGAGCCACAACTACTGAGCCTGTGTGCCACAACTACCGAAGCCCGCACAGCTAGAGCCTGTGCTCTGCAACAAGAGAAGACAATTCAATGAGAAGCCTGCACACCACAGTGAAGAGTAGCCCATGCTCACCGTACCTAGAGAAAGCCTGTGCCCAGCAATAAAAACCTAATGCAGCCAAAAAATAAGAAATTTATTTTTAAAAAATCATTGAAAAAAATAAAGAAAAGTGAACCCTCATGCACTGTTGGTGGGATTGCAAATTGGGGCAGCCACTATGGAAAACAGTATGGAGGTTCCTCAAGATATTTAAAATACAACTGTTATATAATCCAGCAATTTAACTTCTGAGTATTTACACAAAGAAAAAAAAACTCTAATTCAAAAAAATATAGATGTACCCCAATATTTATTGCAGCATTATTTATATGGC